GTCTTTGCTGCCGCAACATTGGATAGACCATATCACATTAAGTAAGCCAGTACTATTCCGAATGGAAGTAGAATGCATGCAGCATCCAGGAAGGATTGCTTGGCAGCAAAGACTCGATCATTTCCTATTTACTGTGCACCCTGTAGTTGCAACGTGTAGCAAGCAAGGTGGAACTGTCTGAGAAACCATACCATGGAGCACAAAACTCTTTTGAACAAATCACCTGTTTGCAGTCCCAGCGCATCGGCACTTTCTCCTGTTCGTGAACGCAGCCGCTCTTCTATAATTTCTTTCGTCCCTAGGATAGTGTCCTCCGGAGGGATCTTGAAAAACCTTATTCAAGAAATCTTCAAGAAGAAGATCAAGAAAAGAAGAGAACGTTCCACAAACTGATTTATGATGACCGACAAGGAGTGCACAATGAAAAAAAAACAAACTTCATAGTCGTAAAAGTCACAGCGATCAAAGTCCTCCTCGTCTGAACTGGTTGTCATTCGAAAGTTCAATGGAAGGCCACCGTACTTTGCGCGTCTTGAAAAGCCATACATGAGTGTTCAAAACATAACGGATGCTCCATTTTCTTGGACAAACTGTGAAAGATTAGCAGGACAAATCTGTGAGATTACAATGTCTTGCAAGCCGCGCAATAAAGGCAAATCTCGCACATATTGTGTAGTTGCTAAGTGGCTGTTGAGGGAAGAAAATAGTCGTCTTCGCTAAGGCTTAATTTATTACTAATGACAGCGGGTGGGGTACGGCGAAAAGGTGCTTGGGTGACACGGGCTCAGAGGGTAGCTGAAGGGCAGCAAGAAGAAATCTCATGAACATTGGGTTCCCCATTTGCTGGCCGAGACACAGAAGCAATACCGGAGTTCCGATTGCATTTTTCATTTGAATCGTCGAAAAAGCCGATATACCCAGCATCGTAACTGTGGAGGGAAGACAGAAATGGCTTCGCAAAAGTGCACTTGAGCTTGTATTAGACGAACGCTAACCGTATTCAGCAACATTTCAGTGGGTATTGGCAAGTTACCTCATAATCTCTGGAAGTCTGTCATGAGCGACAAATGCGGCACTGGGCGAGATAAGTCTCTGCAAGTTGCTGTGAGGACGTAGATCTAGGTTCTGGCGACACGCTCAAACTAGCAGAGTATGCCCTAATTCAGTTCGTCTACGGGGGCAGAGGAAGGCACTCTGCACTTGCTCAGCTAGTTCTGCTTTGCAGGTCTCACTCTGGTGAAACATGTGAACTCTAGTGAAGCTGCAGCAAGCTCGTCAAACCACCATGGGTGGACCTGTCGACCTTGCAGGCTCATGGAGTGCCAGGCACACCATTGGTTGTTGGGGATTTTGGTCGAGTCCGTGCGACCCCC